TAGAGGCCGCGTTATCTTTTTCCAGCAGTTACACACTCAGGGTGTGCGCTGTGATATCTTTCAAAATGGCGGAAAGATGCCATCAAAATTTGGCCTCGTTGTCGTCGTTTTTTCCTTGGGCACAATACTCGTCTGTTAATGGGAGCGGGAAGTGTCGGTTATACAGCTAGTATGTGGCTAGGGGTCATGTTTACAAAGGTACGTCAAAAGTTGTTTTCTGAGTTCAATTTTTTAGTACTTGTGTAACGTGTCGAACTTCGTCAATCGATCCTAGCCTCTTACATACTGCAGTGGTACAAAGCTACGCTTAGTTTATTTATAGTGGTGCGTAACTTAACTTTTCATAACCTAAACTTATTGATCTTGCTGACATTGTGGCAATTGTGAGTATTTTTTTTTTTTTTTTACATTATTATTTTCATGTATCACCTGCTTGCTGGATAAAGGTGAAATGAAATGTCCATCAAGCTTTTCAAAGTTCTGTACTTTAGAAAGTAGGATTGAAAGAATACTCTAGAATTATAATTACGTATTGCACAAAGGTTTTTTAGATCTTGGGTGCCTAAGGCATCTGTCAGCCTTGTATCAAACCACACTATCAGTCAACTTGTCAACCAAGTGTCGGTCGACATATCGACCGAGTATCGGCCGATATGTCAAGTGACACTGGGTTGACATACTCTACCAACACTAGGCTGACACTACCATTACTTGGTCAGCTTTTGTTTTTCGCATTAGACATGTATTCGAGATGATGGCTGTTTGTGCTGTAGTTTGCTCCATCAACATATGGACACAGGCAACATAAACTATTCTTTCACATCCCCTGTGGCTAAGGGGAAGGAGCTAGGAGACAGCTGCCACTCCAGCAAAACAATGGTTTACAATACACACATAACACTGACAGTTGACAGGGCAGAAAAAAACTCAGGTCCTATGGCCGGTAGTCTTCTCTGCAGCCATTTTTTTGGGATGTCACGCAGCGCTCCCCCCAAAGAAACGGTTGCTCACATCCGAACAACATTCCTTTCACGGTATTAGCCAACCACCGCTTCTGTTCCATTTTCAAGAACATTTCTGTGCCAAATTCGCCCTTTGAAACTTGTCCAATCAGAGAATGGTTTTTATCTTTGTATGCCATTTGGGAGATGTCACAAATGAACATACAGATTTCCGGCTTTTGTTTATGGACGTCGAAAAATACCGCCGATGCCAGAACGAACTTTCTATGTAGCTGAAGACTCCTCAAAGTTCAGGCTAATTATTAGAAGCTTTCAACTCAAAAAATTATTGTCTAGAAGGAAGATATCTATTTTAACTTGATAAAGGAACCCGGAAATCAAGTAGCTTCGCTCGATTTCTTGACAGCGAGTTCTGAATGCCGCTCTTTCCTCCTGATTTCAATCTGTAGGAAGCGTTTAGCCCTTGATGGACATTTACAATTTGACATTTCCAGAAAATATGTATTCTCTCATTAGCTGAACATAGTGATGATCACATGAAGCAATTGTACTTAGGGCTTTCATTTACATTTTTTATTCGTCTGTCCTGATGGTAGCCTGCGAACACCACCTATTTTTGGCGATGTGTTGCGTGAAGCCAGAAATCCCTCGTGTGTTCACACTGCAGGCCTTTTTGCACGAAAGCTTACATCATTCACACTTTGTTATTATGTGATTGGTCTGTTCCACAGAGCACAAACAAACCACAAACACAAAAGGAAAAGAATGTGGTTCGGATGTGAGCAGCAGTTTCTTTGGGGGGAGCGTAACGTAATATCCCAAAAAACGGCTGCGGAGGAGACTATATGGCCGGGGGCAAGTAAATTTTGTTCTTGGGCAAGTGAAAATAGAAGTTCAGTGGCCCAGTGGGCAAGTGAAAGTAGCCTCAGTAGTCTTGTGAGTCTGAATGAAAATGTCAGCTTGACAAATGATAATTTCCAGTCAGAAGCTATTTCAAAACTAAAGACTACCAGATTAGTTAACCACTGAGTATAAAACATAGATTATTAGGAATCCAAGCATGCTTTGTTTGCGTTTGTCCTCTGATTGCCATACTGGCCGCCACGTTAGCAAGTAGCATTTTAGTGTGGGCAAGTGAAAACTGAAATTTAGTAGCCCACTGGGAAGGTGGATTTCAATGTAATTTTTTTTTCTGCCCTGGTCAACCGATACACCCGCCAACTGTTGATCACAATGTAATGGTCAAGGTGTTAGCTGAGTGTGGAACCACATACTGACCAATACTTGAATAACATAGCAACTGGCACTCTACAGACTCTCAGTCAACATGTCGACTGAGTATCGGCCGCTATATTGATTGCAACAGATCCCTAAGTACACAAGATCATGTTTTTTGCCTTGAGTGCAGATCAGTCCTCAACTTAATCATCTACAATGTAATTCTAGGAGTTGTGAATCACATTTATTTCAGAACTGATGTAAATCACAGAACTGAACCAAATTTCTACTGGAATTTCCTACATTCACACCCTCCCACATTGGCATCTCTCTCTCTCTCTCATTTTTTTTTTTTTTTTTTTTTTTTTTTTTT